TATGCCAGAGTTTTTGAAAGATTTTTCTTACTTCAGGCATATGCTGGTCTAAATAGTCACAAGGTGTGACAGAAGCTTTACCGTCATTTTCGGACTATTAGCCGCACCTGAATATAAGCCGCAGGTTTTTTATGTATAATAACCATATGGTTCGTGCACAGAGAGGATTGTCGGGAAAGAGGCAGCTGTTTGGGGAAGCTCCTATTTATTATTTCCAACGGTACGTTTGTTTTCCATAATGAGGGTGTCACACAAACTGTCTTGCGCTCGCAGTGTCCGTCTTTCTCGCTGTCGTTCTGTCTCGTACCACTGGCGGTAGAAGTCTGCTTCCAGAGGACCTCCGTATTGCCGTGCACACGGCTACCGTACTTGTGTGTTGAAGCGAATGTGACGTGAACATGGTGGATGGTAAAATCAATAGATTTAGGTATTACCCTAGTGGCCATTAGCTGTAAAAGTCCATAGATAAGCCGCATTGTTATAAAAGCCTCAAGGTTGAAAAATAGGGAAAAAGTTGCGGCTTATAGTCCGAAGATTACGGTACTTTAGATTTCTGTTACTTGGATCACATGAGACAGAACAAACAAAGTCCTGCAGAATAATCAGCTGGAATGAATCAAAAATAAAAAGATAATGAAAAAGAAATAAAAAGAAAAGCTGCTGAGTTTTTACGGCACTAGTGGCTCGTTTTTTCGACAGTAGGGTGACAGGAAAGGGGGGATGAGAGAGAGAGAGACATGCAGCAAAGGACCACAGGTCAGATTTCAAACCAGGTCCACTAAGGCCTCCGTACACGGGTTGGATGCGCTAACCGCTGCGCCACCTACACGCCCAGCCTCTAATTTTTAAGAGTTAAACTAATATATTGCAGATTTATTTCCTATATAAAAAAATATTTCAAGCTGTTATTTCCAGTGATGATCATGGCTCCACCATGTATCCCAGAGGAGGAGAGGACAGTGAGCTAAGTCATGGTGTGACGCGCTAATGAGCGACTGAGCTGCAGACGTTAGCAAATGTTCACTGAACCTCAGCAGTGATGATTGATGGAGCCGTTTCTTCTGCTGACGTTTTCCCACTGAGGTTCTGAACATTTCAGAACACGTCATGCAGCTTTATGGAGACATAAAGTCATTTTCCACTGCCGCTAAAGGAACCAAGACATGTTTAAACCACCTCAGAGGCAATGAGCTGGATTGGCCAACTACCTGATCAGAACCACATTAGCTATTAGCTGCGCGGTAGAACAGTGGGTAGCACTGCCGCCTTGCAGCAAGAAGGTTGCAGGTTTGATTCCTGGCCTGGGATCTTTCTGCAGAGAGTTTGCATGTTCTCCCTGTGGATGGATGGATGATGGATGGATGAGAATAAAAAAAAAAAAAACTTTGAGTCATGTTTGAACCGATGCAGGTTGGTCTGTGTTCTACTCACCCAATTTTAATTTATATAATTAGAAACTAGAGGGTGTAGCTTTCAAATAATGTATTGCACGTGTAATTTGGGCTCACAGGTCTTAATTTATTTGCTTTTTCATTTGGGTTTGCAGAATAGGGGAGGCTTACCCAAACTGAGGTGGATGTTAAGAGGTCAAACGTTTATGAAAAGGCATTGAAACCCTGAGAACTATCGGATTATTTTGGAGGTTTTATTGTTTTTTTGGGAGGATACGGTCTTGGAGATAATTGGAGTCTTTATCTCCAAATAAATGGATGTTTGTGACCCTAGAACTGGCCGGCCAATCACAACGCAGAGATGTGTTTTGAATTTCTGGATGCAAAGTGGGCGGGGTTTTGAGGGCGGGACGACTAAGCTGCACAACAAGGAAGACGGCAGCAACTATTGACCAGTTCTGGTCTGACTCAGCTTTAGAATCAGTTCTGGAAGGATCAGACTTTGGGTTTCCGTTGAAACGTGAGCAGGAAGAGGCTCTACGCTCGTTCATTTTGGAGAAGGACGTATTCGCCGTTTAACCGACAGGCTGTTTGTTTCCACCCCCCCCCACCAGCTTCCTGTGGCGCTTCCTACGTCACAGTCAGTGGCGCTCATTGGTGCGTTGGCCAATAGGAACAGACATGGTTGATCTCATCAACAATCTTCCGATGTCTCATTCATCAGGGCCAGACTAAATGACACATTTAATCTCACGTTTAGTCTGGTTTATCAGGCTAATTTCACCCCTTTCTGACTCCATAGAACTAGAGCAGTGGGTGAGCGGAAGGTCTGCCTCACCCGTCCTTGGAGAGGTGGTGCCTGAAGAAGTCGTTAGCAGCCAATTTGATGGCCTTCTCTGGAGTGACTAGGGTTAGGTTCACCGCAGCTCCTGGAGGATCAAACGGACAGAGAGCCATGAGGGAAGACGGCGATTTCCACCTTTCAAGGGAAAATCTGTCTACTTACCTCTGTACATCCCAAAATAACCCTCAGAGCGAATAGTTTTAATAAGGCAGTCTGACCTGCAGAAAGCCAAACAAAGTGCTGTCAAACGAGTGGAAAGAACAGAGATAAGCATAAATTCTGCTGGGATTAGTTTTCTACAGTACATGCTGGTATAAAGGCGGGATCCATTCTGCTGGTTCTGCAGGCGAGTCTTCGCCAGGTCAATGGGAAACACGCAGGTTACTCCAACGATCCCAGCAATCCCTCCATTGATCAATTTGGCAGGCAAACTGCACGAAAGGAAAAAAAAGCCTCCAGTGAAAAATCTTTTCTTTTTCTTAAATGATGGTGATTCTTATCCATCTTTACCTGATCTGTTTATCAGCCATTGATCGCAGTGAAACCCGTCGGTCAGCGGATCACCCTGGAGCTGCTGCTTTCTAATGGTTGGTTGTTCTAACGGAGATAACCTGCAGCGCTCCTCGTTTTCCCAGTTGATCAGGCTGCTGGTACTTCAAGAAAGTCTGTAACAGAAAAACAGGAAGCAGTTTACTTCATTATAGCATCACTAGCAAACCAAAGATCAGAAT